CCCTCACCGGATCCACCAATCCCCGCAAGGCTGTACCTCCAGCCGCTGTCCTCCGGTAGTTTCAGGCTATAATGAAATTTTATTCAAACTGCATTCACGCCTACGAAACGGGCGTTTACGCAACAGTGTTTGACGGTAATTTCCCACAAATAAATATAGGAGTGTGTTTTATATAGCCACGGGTAAGGAAGAGTAAGGAAGCAGACGTGTTTTCACCCCCAACATCCTTTAAAGGGAAACGGAAAACCGGGGCTTTGGCTCAACTCCACATTAACCTTGTTTGTATAGGTTGTGAATTATGAATGTGTTTGACTAATTTATCTTCACCAGAGCTTTATATGTATATGAATAATATTTGTTCCTCTGCGTTTGCGCAGGTTACAAACAGCGTCCTGTTCACTTGCTGACGTTTATGATAATGTCAAAGTCCACAGTTGTTGGTAGGAGGCTGGTACACGGGCATCGGGTTTGCTGTTTCACAAACAAAGAGGCATTATTTCACCGCTCTCTCTCTCTCACACACACACACACGTAGACATATACAGGCACAGGCACCGGGGCTGATTCACTTGTTTAGCCTCCTGTCACGGCACAAAGAAGGGACCGATAAGACGCACTGCATGGTTAAAATGCTCGGGAGATCTCTGATGAACGTCGGACTGCGCGTGAAGTGTCAGCAGCTTAAAGGGATCCAGAGAGTGACAGCGGGACTAAACCCTGCCAACTATGGGGACACCCTCCGCCGCGAGGCAGCCTCCACCAGCACCGTCATGGGTGTCAACAAAATGAAAACTATGGATGATTTAGGCGGACCGAGTTTCATGACTACCTTGTATTGGCTTTTTTTAAAGGGATATTTCCAAACGACGCAACAAATGCAAGTAAGTTGGAAAAGAAGGTGAAAACAGAGTTTTCCTTCTGGACTAAGGGTTCAGTCCGCGCCCTTGAACTACAGCGCACCTTCCCCTGGAGCTGCTAGAGCGATCAGTGTATCCTGATGCGTTTAATAAGCGCTTAATAACAACGATTAAAGTCATCTTTAACAAATCCTGTAATACAAATAAATGAATAAAAAGAAATCTATATTAGTTTTCCTTTGAGAGACAGTCACAGTCTTAGGAGAGTTTTCCACAATAGAGGATAAGTAAGAGATATTTTTTATAATGAGGATACTCTAAGCAAAGATAAGTATGCACTGATATGTCATGATATTTTCTAATTCCAACAGGAAACTGTTGGTCTCCTTAAACATCATTTACCTCCTGATAACTCTGAACATGCAACTAACCTATTAACTCCCATTATTTGCTCAAAGATTGAGCACAGCAAGATATACGGCCCCCTGTGGAAGTCCAAATACGGCCCTTTGGTCGTGGTGAATGTGGCCAGTGCCGACCTGATAGAACAGGTGCTGAGGCAGGAGGGTAAACACCCAATCCGGACAGACATGCCCCACTGGAGGAACTACAGAGAGCTCAGGAACCAGGCCCATGGACCCCTGACTGAGTGAGTGAAACCATCACAGATCCACCACATCTGTGTCCTGAATCCACACTGCACTGTAACTCTGAGCAGGCTGACAGCATGTTGTTTGTTTTGTTTCCGCTGATGAAATCTGTCTGATCAAGCTGCACTAACATGTGATGTAGCAACTGCAGATCATTTCTTTTCTACAAACAAACAAACACAATACGTTGATTTTTTGTTGTGTCAGTTGCTATGCGAAAAAACTTTGTCCAATGCCAAACTTTGCTAGGTGTTCAGGTTCTTTAACATGGGAGCAAATACGTGGACTTTGAATGCAATGTTATGAACAAAAAAGAAAAAAATCCATAATATAATCCAGTCAATATAAAATATGTAGGTATATATATATATATATAGATAGATAGAGATAGATAGATAGATAGATAGATAGATAGATAGATAGATAGATAGATAGATAGATAGAGATAGATAGATAGATAGATAGATAGATAGATAGATAGATAGATAGATAGATAGATA